TGACCTGATAGCTGAGTTTGGCGTGACCTGATAGCTGAGTTTGGCGTGACCTGATAGCTGAGTTTGGCGTGACCTGATAGCTGAGTTAGTGGATAGCAGCGATCTGACTGCTCCACCTGGAGTTTCTAGGAGGATATCCTTGGAGAAAAATAAAAAGAATAAATTAGTACTTACTACAATGCTTAAGAAGTCAGAAAAATCAGTCGTTCTTCTCTTACAGCAGGACCAACCCTATAAAACAAGGAAAAACAAACAGACCCTTAAAACTGTGCAACTTTTCTTTCCTTGAATCCTGACATATACACATACAAACATACATGAGTTCAGTTTTCATAAGGTGCTTCCTGATCACATGACTCTGAAAATAAACAATTATTTAAAATAGAAAATCAGAAGCTTTTGATTTGTTTATTAATATTATTTGACTTTTAGAAAAAAAAGTTTTTAAACATCTACTGGAATATGATGTAACTCACTGGAATTCTTGCCTAGGGCCAAGTTCAATTCTGCAGTGCCCGGGTCTGTCCCTGCTCCTGGGGTGCATCTTGAGGACAGTTTTCTGGTCAGCCAGCTAAAATATCCTGTTTGTTCCTGTGCTCCCTTTGCCTCACCTGGTGATTAGCTGTAAGGCATTGTTTCATCTTTGGTATGGTAATTCCCCACCTGCCTGGGCGGAAATCCTTGTGCAGCAGCTAGGTATAACAGGATTTCCCCAAAGTTGAATAAATGGCATTCAGCTGATCTCCTTTGGATGAGCCAGGTCTCTTGTGTGTTCTTTCAATCTCCAGGCTCTTGCCCAACTCGCTTTAAGGTACAGTGGCGAGCAAACTGTACCGAGGGGGTAACACAAAATTGGATGTTACAAATTCCAAACAACCACCCTCTAATTCATGTATTTAAAGGCTCTGACGCATACGGTCATTAACTTGGGGGGAGCCTATTAAGTAACAATTATAGCACTGTCTAAACAGTTAAACTAACCTTTCAGTCAGAAGCAGAGCAGACAAAAGCAACTGAAGTAAGTAAGGTTTTAACCAACTCTCAAATGACTCTTTGGGATTCAAGTAGGGAGTTTATAAAACCTGGGAAGGAGACAGATGTCACTTGTTATAATGCCCTTTTCTACCCACCAAATTAAAAATGAGTCAGGGCAGAATGTTTATAATGAATTAATCAGCGGGGTGGCTTTTAGCTTACTCAGAGTTAAACATGCTCATAGTAATAAATGATTTTAGCGGTCTACCATCTCAAATAGGCATCTTAGGTTCTGGGTAATAAGAGCAGTCCTTAAGTGACTAGAAAGTTAAACCAATGACATTAAGGCAAGGTTCAACAATTCCTCCTTGACTAGCCAGAGAAGTGACTGCTTTGGTCTTTAGAAGCCTTCATCATCTTGATTCTTTTTCAATCCTCAATAGAAGCCAACAGGAAAAAGAACAGAGGCCCCGGTTCTGATACTCTCTCCTTCCACTGCTTGCCTCACCACCACCTATGAGATGTACTTGATTGTTTCATTGTACTCTGGTTTCATTAAAAGCTTGTTTGGCTTTTCTGCTGGCCTCCATCTTCTCTTTGTCTGGTGTTATACCACTGAGGAAGAGGTCTAATTTTAATTATTTCACTCAAAAACCAGGTACTTTACCATAAACAGCTTATGAAGGTGGCGTTCAGTTATTGATTTTAACTCTAATGTAGTAGGAAGTAAGGAAATAGAAATACAGTACCCTTGTGGCCCCAAATTTATATTAAATTCATGTGGGCCAGGCTTAACGCAAAGAAGTTTTGGTAGTGAATTTTGCTTTTTTATAACATTATATGTATTATCAGGTTATCTTTCCAGTTCTTAAAAAGAAAAATTAAATATTCTATAATTTACTCTTTTTCCTTTTCGTGTGAACTTTGGATTAAGAGGCACATGAACCAATTACCACACTCTTACAGCATTTAAAGAGTGCTGATACTATTCAACAAATTTAATCGTGTGTGTGTGTATGTGTGAGAGAGAGAGACAGACAGACAGACAGAGACAGAGACTTAGCATTTAACTGGTACATGGAAAAAAATGTAAACAAGGTGCAAGCAGCTAAGTCTGTGTTATCTGCTCAGTTCTGTGTGAGGAAAACACCGTTAGAGAGGGTGCTTTGTCCAGCTCCCGCTATGATCTTCTTAGCCTCATTAACAGCCTTTATGTGTGTTGAAACCGATTATGAAGGTGTATTTCTCTTTCTTGATTACTGTTCCTTACCCTCTTACTGTACTTTTTTACTTCTCATTTTCCCCTTCTACTTTCTCCTATTTTCTAACCATAGGGATGTTTCTCATTTTTGCTCCTAAAGTACATTTGTTTGTGTCCTCAAATTTTCAACTCTAGTCTAGTGATTCTTAGGCATATTCTGTAGGCATGTGCTCTACAGATAACACCAAACTATTCCTAAACTGAAGTGTTTGTATTACTCTTATTTCTATAGTTGTGTTGGTTTTCATTAGCTCTGTTCACTGTGTGAATGTGTAAGGTGGGTGTAGAGGCCAGAAATCAATCCTCTGCTCTCCACCTAACTTTTTGAGACAAGGTCTCTTACAAAGCCTGGAGCTTGATAATTCATCTAGACTAGCTAGACAGAAAGGCCAAGGACCTGCTTTTCCCGGACCTGGGTTAAAGACAGGCCTTTCACTTTGATTTTATGTATGTGTTGGGGATCCAAATTTAGGTCTCATGCTTGGATGACGAGTGATGGCACTGTCAATCACTCTCCGACTTGCGTTGTCTGTCTGTATTCTACACTACGCATTATAAACCTCGGATCCTAAGACCCAGTAAATTTCAGGTACTACAAGTACTGATACAAAGCCAATAGTTCTCTACTTAACGAGATGAGCAGTTAAATTTATATTAACAACAATAAAACATTTCAGTACTATAAGGGGAATATTGAGAGAAAAGTTCTGTTAATGTTAATATTCAAGGAAAGATTATAAGTAGCCTCATGCTTACAAAATTAAGTTTATCTTTCTCTAAAAATGTATAAATTACTGAGAACTTGCACACCTCATATTAATCGTGAATTTTTAAAAAAAAAATCAAAAACCTTGTCAAAACAAAGCAAACACACAAAAAAAATTCACTGTGGTATTTCTGATTCTTCAGCTCATCACCGAGGAAATAAAGGAGGAAATACAGTATGACTTTTCCAGTAAAACACTTGTAGAAGCATTAAACATCTGAAACAACCAATATAATACTCAGAGGAGAGCCAGGAGATGGTGGCACACGCCTTTAATCCCCTTACTTGAGAGGCAGACAGATCTGTGTGAGTTCAAGGCCAGCCTGGTCTACAAGATCTAGTTCCACAATAGGCTCCAAAGCTACAGAGAAACCTTGTTTCAGAAAAACAAAACAAAACAAAAAAAGAAACAAAACCACACAAAACTAAACCATTCAGGGGCTGGAGAGATGGCTCAGAGGTTAAAAGCATTGCCTGCTCTTCCAAAGGTCCTGAGTTCAATTCCCAGCAATCACATGGTGGCTCACAACCATCTGTAATGGGGTCTGGTGCCCTCTTCTGGCCTGTAGGCATACACGCAGACAGAATATTGTATACATAATAAATAAATAAATATTAAAAAAAACTAAACCATTCAGATGAAGCCTTTCTTATTAGCCAGCATTGACAGACTAAAGACCAAGACAAGTATAACTGCTTTTATTTAACTTCAAACTTAGGAAGGGAATAAATCATTAGGAAAATGAGTTGGAATGTAAATAACTTTATAATGAGGAAATATTACTGACTATTATCTTCTGTCTTTAAAGACTATGCTTAAAGCATCCTCAAATGGTCATTAAGAAAAACTGACAAGCTGAAGCAGGAAAGAAAAATTGTATGTTTAATTTTATCATGCAAGTATAAAGAAACTGAAAAGTAACTTGTTCCTACCTTCAGGGCATCATGAAATACAGGTACACCTGGGTGGTACGTGCAAGCATCTGGTCAAAACAGAGAAAGGAAACAACACAGCTGTTTATCAATTGCAAGTTTATGTATCCCTCCTTAGGGTGGTTAGGGTTTGATCGTTTTTCCAAAAGCAGGCAAATTACTCTTAACACTTCATTAAGTTTTTGTATTAAAAAAAGTAACAATTAAATCTCTAAGAGTATATACAGGGACAAAATATAGAACTGTTCAAGAATAACATTCGGGAACACCCTGTGGCAGTGGTTCTCAACCTTCCTTATGTTGTGAACCTTTAATATAGTTCCTCATACTGTGGTGACTCCCCCCAACCATAAAACTATTTTACTACTACTTCATAACATAATGGAAATATCTGTCTTCCAATGGTCTTAGGAGACTTCTGTAAAGGGCCATTTGGTCCTAAAGGGGCTGTGACCCACAGGCTGAGAACCACTACTCTGCATTCTCTCATCTTTTGTAATAAAACTTCTTTACTACTAAACTTTAAGTCCTAATCATTCTGGCAATATCTTTTTTTTATTCTCTAAGAATTTCATACATGTGCACAAATTATCTCAGTTGTACCCACCTTCCTCACTTGCTCCCTCCACCTACTCACCTACCCACCTCCCTTCCCCAGAACTTCACCCCCACTGAGCCCAACCAGTGCTGTCTATATGCACCTCACTAGCCAGTCCCCTGAAGAAGTCATTCCTGTCCCAGCTGCCATCATCTGCCAACAGTTTCTCAGCTTAGCCTGGGGGAAGCACAGACTTTCCTTCTCCCTCTGGGCTGGAATATGAACTAGACAATGTTGTATTGGGCAGTCTTGTGCAGACAACCACAGCTGCTGCATGCATGTTTGGAACAGCCACGTCACATTGAGCACAGAATTTCTCAGCTCTCCTTCCCATCTTTCCAAAACAATATCTTTCTTTCTTTCTGTTTTTTTTTTTTGTTTTGTTTTTTGTTTTTGTTTTTCGAGACAGGGCTTCTCTGTGGCTTTGGAGCCTGTTCTGGAACCAGCTCTTGTAGACCAGGCTGGTCTCAAACTCACAAAGACCCGCCTGCCTCTGATTCCCAAGCGTTGGGATTCAAGGCGTGCGCCACCACCGCCCGGCAACAATATCAAATTTAAGTATACTTATAAACTGATCCATAAAAATTGCCCAAGCTTCGCTAAAAAGATATTATGAAAAAGAATTAACTCAACATTTTAATAACTGCAGAAATACCTAATTGCTACATTAGCATTCTTAACAAGTAATTCCTAGATACAAGCCAGAGTTCAGTTCTATAATAATATATTTCATGGTTGCTATTGATCATTTTATATTTCTGGTCTCTCTCCATATTACAGAAATTTTAACTTATTTAACTCGTACACAAAATACGTTTATTACCACTAGCAATGTGGAGTATTTTATTTGTAATAAACACACGTTATCTGAGAATGCAGTACACCATGATGTTAGAGAAAGGCACTTATATTCTTCTGTAATTTTCTTACTTGACTCAAACTTCCAAGTTTAGTTCCCCGCACCCTGCCCCGGCTTCCCAACAATCTGACTCCCTGTATTGCCCTGAAATCTCTCTACCCTCTACTATTATCTCCTATTACTTCTTTACTAAATGCTGGTTATGCATACAAAGTACTAGCTAATGGAATGGAACACAAAGAGAACCCACAGATTAGGAAGAGGCTACCAGTTACATACTGCAGAGTTAGGAGGAAGCTGGGCATGGAAATGTGTACGAACAAAGATATGAAGTTGAGAGGGAATAGCAGATCATTTAATTTAATGTGCAATCACTACCATCAGTACCATAAAGTATACGATGTATAAACACAGCTGGACAACAGGACAGCTGCATCTTCACCATGTAAACAGCACCGAGTTAACTGTATTTCAAAAGGAAATGACATTAGATGGGCAGGAGAACCTCCTCTAGCATTTCTCAGGCTTACCAGTGTTGCCGAAATCCCTATTTACAATAGACTAGTGGCTATATTGAAGGGCTTTTTTACACTAGGCTTAGTTGAAATCTTCATTTGTCACTCGCAGCTGCTGTGCTGTTTGCAAACATGTCTCCTTTAGAGTACTTAACACACGTAAGCTATGATTCATATTTCTTTATAACATGTACTTGAATCACAAACTAAAACGTTCTATTATGTTGAAAAGAGTCTAATTTTTGCATTCGAGGCAAAACAAAACAAACAAATACAAAACTAAAGGGATGAAATAAGTCACTAAACGTGGAAATTATACTACACTATTATACATGGGAAGACTGCGTACAGACCTACAGTTTCTTACAAATAAAACAGCATCACTGCACTCCCTGAGAGCATAGACCACATGGGTACCTTCAACATAAACAGTTTAATTTATAATTTCAACGTAAAAGATCAAATTATTCCCATTCCAAAAAACTTTCTCTTAAATCCAGTGTTATCAACGCCATTCATTCAACCAATTTACTTGACATTTATCCCTAGTTTCTAAAACAATTTCAACTTTGCTAAAGTGAACACATTTCTCTCCAGGTGACTAGAGTTCCCTGCTGTAGGTGATGCTGTTAATAGCCCCAAATCGATGACTACTTCTTTACTCGTGTGGCTTTCCTACACTGGTTTTTCTATGTAATACACCATTCCACACGTGGATAGACTAACTTTTTCAGGAACAAGTTGGTACCACTCCTGAACTTTGGACTAGACTCTAGTACCCTAAAAACATTGCCCCATGCTACCTAAAGCAGCAGTGTATTCAGTATTAAAGTAAAATGTGCACATAACCACAGAAGTTTAACAAGTGCTTGTAGCGTGGCTTCATCTTTACTTTTAAATCCTGTATTTAGAAAAAACTCATCAGTTTACATGGATACCAAGATAAATATTTCAAACACCTCAAACGCGAAAAAGACCTTTAAGGTACTGGTTTTAAACGTCTCACAACGCGGAACTCTGCTCTGAAGCGAGATACTTCACAGGGTAGTTAAATTATATAACGAAGTGACAGTTCAATACCTTGTATATAAAAAGTATATTATACATGCCTGGTAAATCTGAGACAAGTGTCACTTTCCACAGTAGTCCAATAATCTGCATAATTATCCCACTCAATGACGAGACTCATACCTCTGGGTTCACCCTGGATAGGTGCTTTGCTTTCACTGTACATTCTTAATTAGAGCACACTGGCTTTTGGAGCACCACTGGGGCTCATTTCATGCCGGTCGGCGTGGTTTAAAACTGCAGGCCCCAGCCAAAACTATACCGAAAACGTTGCTACTGTGAGACAGATGTGTGAGAGTCATTTCCGCAAGCAAGCACAGTTCTTTAGAAGGCAAGTAAATAGGAGAGGTGGGCTGAACGAGTGACGATACGCTTCTCACTAGCACTCAAAATGCGACAAGAAGTCCAATGCGAGACCGGTCTACTGCCCACTTCCCTGGCCCTCCCCGCCCAGGAATCAAGGCAGTGACAAAGCGTAAACCGGGTCACGTTAGCCCCGGAGCTGAGGAGGTGCAGGGGGTGCCCGGTGAGGGATGAGAGGCACCCGAGACAGCAGCGGCCAGCCCTAGGCGTGGGAGACACGTGGAGGCTCCCGGAACGGCGGGAGGTTGAGACCGGGCCGGCGAGCGGCGGGGAGGCTCAGGGCCAGGGTCCTCCTTACCGTCCGCATTAGTCTCCGGGTCGAAACGCTGGCCGCAGCCGCGGTTGTAACACAGAAGCGCCATTCAGTCTCCCAGGTGAAACTCACACCGCCGGAACTAAGAGAAAATCACCACGCCAATCGCCAGCACTACAGCAGAGGACGGCGCTGGTTTCCGGTAGCCGCCGGTGCCGCTTCAGGAATTTTCGCGAACGTTCGGGTTGCACAGGCGCAGAAGAGTCGAGAAGCTGGGCCCGAGCCAGGCGCTGGTCGGTAGATTCCCCGCCGGACTCCCGCGGGAGAGCACAGTGGGGGTGGACCCGGACAGTTATAGATGAGACACCCGGGGTCGGAAGCGGAAGTCCACGAGAGCCACCCTCCCTTTGTGCCCCGCATCTTCTGGGAGGTGGTGGTGTGTGCTGCGCAGTTCGTGGGCCGGAGGCAGCGCGTGCCCAGGTCCTCCGTGCAGACGCTCTCTAGGCAGAGGGTGAGTGAGGAGGGTGAGGACCGCCGCCTTAACCGGTCTCTGGGTCCGGATCTGCGCAGCCGCAGTCCGTTCCAGTTCTAAGTTGCTATTTCACATTAGCTGCCACTTACCGGTCCATCAGTCGGTCTCATACAGTAAAATTTCAGGTCCATTGTACAAAGCACATACATGAATAGACAACATACAAGCAGTATTATCCTGAGCAGATACTTTTGAAATAGCAAACACCGTTGATGAGATACACCAAAAAGATGTGTACTTTTCCGACGAGCCCAAGTTTATTATTAATGGAGACCTACTTACATCCCAATAATAAGACTTCATTTTTAGTATTAATGGAGACCTGCTTACATCCCAATAATAAGACTTCTTATTTTTCCATATCCATTTAATACCTCTAGATATCAAGTTTATGTATTCAAAATAAATAAAATTATGTATTTCTTTAACCTAAGATGATTTCCATTTTATGTCATTGCTAAGTCATTCTTAGGAATGATGGATGTTTGTTGAATTCTGTCATTTACACGTTCTCCTATAATCTCACTGTTATGCCCAAATCTGCTAAGTTCCCCCCAAACCAACAAGGAGACCAAGTCCCATATGTAAAAGCAAAGAGCCTTTATTTTATGCAAGTTTGCAAACTCATTCTCTCCTTATTGGAATAAAGGGAGAGCCCCGAACTCAGTTAGAGTTGGGTTTTTATAGTAGTAAAGGTGGGGTGAGGGGTTTCTGAGGTTCAAGACCCCTGATTGGCTGACATTTGTCTAGGAGTGTCCTGGTGAGTGTGTGCTGGCAGGTGATCCTATCTATAACAGTTGGAATGCTAGGCATTTCCTTTGGATGGTTTGTTGTTGGGTGGTGTTCGGGTAATCTTGGTCTGTGGTTCTTCCTGCAACCAAGTATCGCTTCAGGGTAAACTACTGAGACTCAGGCCTCCATGGCTGAGTCCTACTCTAGCAGGTGATGATGAAAGACCTGGATAAATCCAGATCCCCCTAGCAGAAACAAATAGAGCCAAAAAAATCTAAGCCGGGAGGGAAGAATCAGAAATCTAGGATTAGCCGGTTCAGTGTTTCAGGAACTAGCTGAAGATAAAGTTAGATTGTAATCTTGAGAATAATCTTGAGAAACAAGGAGTTTCCCCCTTGTGATTATTATTGGTATTTTAGGGGCACTATGTTTCAGGAACTAGCTGATTATAATCTTGAAAATAACCTTGAGGAACAGGGGGTTGCCGCAACCCCCCCCCCCCCCCAGTGATCACCACTGGACCTCCCTACTCCTTTGGATTACTGGACTGTGGTTTCTTCCCTTAAAAAGCCCTTCTGGTCACTCAGGGTCGAACTCTTCCCCTGCGTGGGTTATGAGTCTCGATCCCAGTGCACTGTTTCCTGTCTTCCTGTCGATTAAACCTCATGTGATTGCAGCAAGGATGGTCTCTTGTGAGTTACTGGGGGGGGGCTGTGTTATCCTGAGACTTGAGTGAGAGTCTCCCCATATCAGGGGTCTTTCAATGATGGTTGGAAGTAAAGACCTTCCTTTGGGTGGTCTGTTTCTATTTAGCTTATCATGGCTGGCTCCTACACTCACCAATTTAGTTATGCCCATCAATAATGAATTTATTGTTTATTTATTTTTTTCTATTCCTTTAGGAAGTAACTAATACTGTGTAAAGGGCATAAGCCTTTTAAATACTTCTAAGTTTTTAAAGACTATATATTGCCAATTAATTTCTAAGAGGTGGTACCATTTTTATTTTAGCCACAGATATCTGCTATAGTAGACCATAGAAATTAATCATAAACAATAAGAAATGGATGAGAAGCTCTAAAGTTTTTATTTTGGCCAGCTCCAGTGTTGCATATCATAGGGTCACAGCATTGTGGGGTTGTTAGACGAATCATTTAAGTAGTCTTAATATTTAATGTTAGTTGTCTTTCACTGATACAAATTTATATTCAGAAAATAATTGATTATAGTATATTGTCGGAGCCAACCATGATAGGCTTAATAGAAACAGACCACCCAAAGGAAGTTCTTCCAACCACTATCACCTGCCAGTGTTGGGCCTAGCCATGATAAACTTAATGGAGACCTGAGTCTCAGTAGTTTACCCTGAAGCAATTACCTGGTTGCAGGATGGACCACGAACAGTTTACCCGAGCACCACCCAAGAACAGACTATCTAAAGGAAATGCTTAGTGTTCCAACAGTTGTAGATAGGATCACCGGCCAGCACACTCACCAAGACACCCCTAGACAAATGTTAGCCAATCAGGGGTCCTGAACCTTAGAAATCCCTCACTTCACCACACCCTTACTACTATAATAATTGAGCTCGGGGCTCTCTGATTATTCCAATACGTTGTACACAAGGAGAGAGACCGAGTTTACAAACTTGCATAAAATAAAGGCTCTTTGCTTTTACTTATGGGACTCCGTCTCCTTGCTGGTTTAGGGGGACTTCATGTATCCGGGCATAACAATATAAATTTAAAAATATAAAAATAAGATTAAAAAAATGACCATCTGGGAGAGTTCAGAGTGGACATGACTAGATTGAACTGGACCATGTGGGGAGGGGGAGGGGAAGGAAACCAGGAACCAGGTGCCACAACCTGGAGGGCAGAGGTCCAAAAGGGGCCGGTAAGCATAAACTCTGGATTACTTAGGGAGAGTCTCTGGAGAAGGGCCCCCTAGCATTCGGGCTGAATCATTCAGGATAGAGGGCACAAGGTATGCCAGCCACCTCTTATAACAAGTAGGGACAGGGATTCTAGAAGAGCCTGAAGGCCAGGTCTGCTTTGGTATTTTATGTCGGCACCTTAGCCTTTTTTTCCAGAAATGGAAACTTAATATCTTACAGATCATTCAGAATTGCTAAACATCTTTAAATATTGACAATTTGAATTGCTACAAAACCTTAAGTGTTTGAAGTTTTATTAAATTGGGGTGATTTTGTTGTTTACTTTTTTTGCTTTTGGACACAGGGTCTCAATTGTTCACACTGGGCTCAGTCTCACTATATAGCATAGAATGACCTCGAACTCCTGATCTTTTGCAGCTACCTCCCAGTCACAAGGATTGTAGGTACTACCATTTACTTCTTTACTCAGTTTCCTGTGCTGCCAGAGATTGAATTTAGGATTCAGTATATGCGAGGACATCTACAACTGAACTAACTAACAAGAGTCGTTTTCTTTTCTTTTCTTTTTCTTTTTTGGTTTTTTGAGACAGGATTTCTCTGTAGCTTTGGAGCCTGTCCTGGAATTAGCTCTTGTAGACCAGGCTGGTTTCAAACTCACAGAGATCTGCCTGCCTCTGCCTCCCAAGTGCACCACCGCCCGGCTAAGAGTCGTTTTAAAAGGGGAGCATAAATTAAACTTTTTTTTAAAAAAATATTTTTCTGCCTTCTTTTTGTGGGGGAAGGGTTCATTGGTGGAGAGGGTAGACCTGGGAGGACTGGGAAGTGAGTGTGCTCACCTTCATGATGTGAAATTACTAAATAATCAATAAAAATACTATGAAAACAAAGAGTGCAAGATGGGTGTGGCATGCCTGCGATTCCATCAATCAGGAGGATAAGACCAGAGGATTGTGAGTTTAAGACCAGGATGAAATACATAGTACCATTAGTGTCTGAAACTCTGAGGAAAGGCTCCAGACTCAAATAGTATGCACACACAGAGCTTTTATTCTGCAGAAATCGCCAGCATTCAGGAGTCAATCATCCACACAAGAGGGCAATGACTACCCAGGACAAAGACATGCGTGCCCTTTTGAAGGAAATTTGGGAAATTCTAAGTATGGTGAGCTAATCTTTGTTCTAATTGGACAATCAAGGAATAGTTACACGGGACATGTGTTGATTGGATGAGGCTAGTAACAGTTTCACCCATTGTGGGCTTTTTAGTCATCGATAGTAACAGCCTTATCCTGCAACTTTGAGTCTCCCAGACTTATACGGTCAGGTTTGAGACTGTTTAACTGGTTAGCTAAACTTGGCTGGGGTACTTCCTGGACTCAGGCTTAGGGTCATTACCTACAATGGAGTTGCTCCATGTCTGAATTGGAGTTACATTCCGACCCCGTCAATATAACTTATGAAATAAATAAACAGTAGATATTATAAATAAGAATACGCTGCAATTTATATACATGAATATTTGAAGACTACAGGTTTTCCTATTCTTACTCATATTTGAATTTTCTCTTTATATAGCAGTTTTGATGAGAACACATTATTAAATTGTCATATAAAAATTGTGAAAATATTTCTTTATAGTAATCTTGATGACTAAGTGTGATATACAAATGTAATCCCAGGACTCAGGTATTGAAGCAGGAAGATCAAGTATTTAAGGCCCGGTGGGCTCCATAATGAGATGCTGTCTTTGAAAATCAAGTAAACAAAACCCAAGAAACTCTTATTCATGTTTTTTTATTTATTGAAGATAGTGTTATTATTAACTTTAGTAGTTTCACAAAAAACATCAGAATCATACCTTGTGATACCTTGTCAAAAGCCTATGGATCTTAAGAGGGAACCAGCTACTCTTGTTTTGCTAATTAGCCATGTTGTCAAACTGCCTTCTAACTACTTATGCTTATACTGGTACATGACTGTTGCTCCTAAGCTTGGTCAGAGGAGTTTCTTTTTCACAATGAAGTCATGTCTCCTTATAGAGACTCAAAAAGTGCTGAGAATACGTGACTGTTGAGTTCCATGCCCTAAATGGGGCGTCTGTATCAGTGTTTCCAGCAG